CTCTACTTTCTTGTAGTCCATAATGATGGAACGTCGGCGGAACCGCTCTAGCCCTGTAGCGCCACCCATAATACGTTGGGCTCGCTGGGCGGTTTGCGTTCGTAATAATAACGCCGAAGATCCCATACCATAAACGTCGCATCACGCCTTGCTGGCAAGCTGCTCGTGGATATGCCATACACCCAAGTAATTGCGTCATCTAACTGCGTCTTCTTCGTCTACCCAATCTTTCAGCCGTAGATGATAGATATGTTGAGTAATTTTTGTATAAAGATGGTTCCTAGGCTTGATTGCTGCATCTGTGTTGATGATCCTGATATCCTATAACCCGCGAATCAGCGTCTGCGGTGATATCTCTGAAAGCTCACTCAATTGTTCCACCCTGTCCTTTGCAGGTTAAAGCAATACAAGAGTAGAGATAATGTCGTTTTGGCGGCGCCCCTTCAAAAGCCAGGGAGATGATGGCTCGGCTCCGACATCGCAAGACGGCAACCTGACTGATGATAGTGGCAGTCTGCAGTATGTCGGCGAGCTTGGTGGTAACGACGCACCGCCGACGTACCAAGAGGCCGGCGGTGCCCCAATTGAGGCATCATCTCCCCTCGGCTACAGTGTTGGGCCAGTTACCATCCTGTTTCTCAACATCAGCATGATGGTTGGCACGGGAATCTACTCTACCCGTTAGTATACACTGTTCGGTTTTTCTACACAAGATGCTATGCTTGATCATTCTGGAAATATGGCAAGACGCTAATGAAACGCACGAATTGTGCCTCAACAGCATCTGCTATTCTGCGCGGCACCGGCTCCGTGGGTCTGAGTATCATCTTCTGGGTGCTCGGCGGCTTCATCTCTATCGCCGGAGCCGCTGTTTACCTCGAATTCGCATCTTACTTTCCGAGTCGATCCGGTGCCGAGGTTGTATACCTTGAGCAGGCGTATCCTCGCCCCAGGTTCTTCTTTCCGACTACCTTTGCTGTAATGAATGTGGTGCTGTCCTTCAAGAGCAGCAATGCCATTGGTAAGTCAAAATACCCAAGTGAGGAGTAGAAGAAGTTTCAATCTGATCTAATATTCATCAATAGTCCTCGCCGACTATCTATTCGCCACTGGTGGCACCGTGGGTACCAACTGGCAGGTTAAAGGAGTCGCAGCTGCGGGTTACACCGTTGCATTTCTCGGTAAGAAAATAGCCCCCTCTCGATGGAGAAGTATTGAAGGATTTTGCTCATTAATATATCTTCCCCTTCCCTCTCTGCAGCTGTTGCCTTTCATACCAAGTACTCTTATTATCTGTCCAATGCAATTGGAGCAGTGAAACTTGTTACGCTAATCTTCATCGCCATCACCGGGTTGGTCGTGCTGGGCGGCCACTCCAAGGTGGAGGATCCCACCGCGAATTTCAAGAATGCATTCGAAGGCGCTCCCACCGCCTACGGTCTGACAAATGCCCTGTACCGAATTATCTTTTCATACGCAGGCTACTATAATTCGTTCAATGTGGTTAACGAAATCAAGGTGCGTACTTATCATTACATGATTTACCAAATATAGCAAGGTGCTCGGCTTCGCTAACAGGAGAATTAAATGCAGAATCCAATTAAACAAATCAAGCGTAACACCACCATTTCAATCTTACTCATAACAGTATTATATGTTCTAGCACATATTGCCTATTTGGCTGCCGGTAAGATAATGATGGGGACTCCTCTCCGTTCTTAATTATTACCGAGAATATTATCATGCTAATGCAAAGAAAATAGTCCCCAAAGATACATTGGAGAACTCCGGTACCATTGCCGCCAGCCTGTTCTTCTCTGCCGTGTTTGGTTCAAGCAACGCTTCAAGAGGCTTGAACTTTTTGATTGCGCTGAGCTCCTTCGGCAACTTGATTGCGGTACTGTTAGGTTCGGGGCGTATTCTCCGGGAGTGTGGAAGGTTAGTCGTCGACCCTACTACTGCTTTTTTTTCTTCGCAACATTTTCAAACAGTTCCTAACTTGTTGGCGTTGAACTTTCGTAGGCAAGGTGTTCTACCCTTCCCTCGGTTCTGGGCATCAACCTGGCCGTTTGGCACCCCTTTGGGACCGTACTTTCTGGACTGGGCAACGACCATCGTCATCATCATAGCTATCCCTACGGGCGACGCATTTAACTTTGGTACGTAACCTCCTTTCTCTCCGGATAAATCATATTGAGGCACGTTCTAACGTGTTACAAACAGTGAGCGACCTCACGGTCCTACCCACTTCCGTCTTCACTCTTATGATGGGCATCGGTCTGTACCTGGTACGCTGGCGCCGTGCCAAGGCCAACCTGCCGGCGCCTGAGTTCCGGGCTTGGCACCCGGTGGTTATTTTCAACATTCTCGTGATGCTGTACCTCGTGGTGATGCCGTGGTACCCGCCGCCGGGAGGCAAGGGCGACGTGTCCTTCTGGTACGGCACCTATGTGGTCACAGGCATCGCGCTGCTGCTGATCTGCGCCGTCTACTACTTCATTTGGGTCAAGGTCCTCCCCCGCGTCGGGGGCTACCGCCTGCGCAGCGAGCTGGTGAAACTCGGAAACGGTGCTCAGACTCACAACCTTGTCAAGGTGCCCGTGGCGGAGCTGAAGCAGTGGGATGAGGCACACGACGCAGCTGGTCGCCCTGTTGCGCTCCAGAATAGCTCAGACCAGGCTGGGTTTGATAAGGATGTAGGGGTTATTTCTGTCGGCGAGAAACCGCAGGGACAAGTTTAGATAAACTACTCTACCGGTATTTCAGTTTCGAGATAGGTTTACGTAAGTGGAGCATGGAAGATTGAGCACATTTGGGGAGCAGCAAGGCAGCAGTCGAGGCAAGGGGAACAGACCGGCTTTCGTTATTTTAAATTGCTAATTTACCAGCTGGGAATCATTAATGGCTCATCGGTCTTGATAATCCGAGACATTCCCCTTTAAACCAAGGCCAGTAGGCCGTCTCAGCCCACCAGCGCAGGTACTGCAGGACACAGATGATCTTATAGATACCCAGTGGTGAGCTTGTGTCGCCAAATCTATACTTGCTCCAGAGGACCTGAAAAACAATCATTGTTAGCAATGTCTCGTGTCCAGGGCCATGGTCAGTAGACACCACATACCATCCTTTTGCCTTCCATGCTAGCCGCGGCGAAGTTCCAGTCATGTCCCTGGATGATGATGGCAGGGAGGAAAGCCACCGGCACATCAACCCGGCTGTGCTCATCACCTTCGCTGGTAGCAGCTCTATTGCTTGTCCTTGACAATTCCTCTAGTGCCCTCCTTTGCGCCGCCAACCAGACGCTGATCTGGAGCTTAGCTTCGTCGAGCGCATCGTTAGTGCGCTTAGTCTCAATGCTCAGTGCGATGGGTCGGTTGCGGAGGGGTATAAAGTCGGTATGGTTGATGCTCTGGCCAGGCAGTCGAGTACGCAGATTTGTGACAACATCCGCCACTGGTACCATCTCGTCTGAAGGAGCGGATTGCCCAGAATCGTATTCGGGTTGAACTACTATAGCATAATCGACCATTTTTGGTGGGACACTCCTCACTCGGTATGATGGGAGGATACTAGCCGTGGTGCTGCAGATGGCAAGAAGAGCGTCAGCATTTTGGTTGCATACATAACGCCCGATAGAAATGAAGATAGTAGAGAATACCCGGAATAAACTGACCATGGAACAACAGAAACCAAGCGATCCGCACGTTGGCTACGCGGTCCTGACCCTATAATAGCATGGCGCAGTACAGGCCAGTGCACCATGGAATTCCAGGATGCTTCGGGGTACAAGTTATCCTCGCACTCGCGCGCCTCGTCCAGAATCTCCTGCACAAACGTCGGGGATGGCGTCTCGCCCAGCTTCCTCCTTCGTTCTGTCGCATCTATAAAGAGCGGCTTGATGCACTGCCGAAATGCGCGCCGCTTGTCGTCCGCGGCGGCGTACTGCTCTATCTCGGTTTTCGCATGCGCGTCAATCACGCCTCCTTCATCGGTAAACCCCATGATGGCTTCGAGCATGTCGGCCAGAGGCTGCGGTAGGCGCGGGTCCCCTAGGTCGAAGGCGCGCCGGTCAACGCCGTCGCCCTGGAGCTGCAGCGCTGCTAATCGTTTGCTGGGCGAGGACCGCCCAGACCGAGGGCCGGTTGGGGTTCTGGTCGACGATAGGCCTGAAGCGTAGCTCTCCGAGGTAAGATCCTGCGAGTCGGAATCTGCGAGCGCGAAAGGATCGCGCGAAAAGGGAACAACATCTTCGCTGGTACCTGTACCTTGAAGGCTCCTGCCTGCTACTGCAAGTGGGTTGTCTTCGTCCGGTCGGCGCCTCTTCCGAGGTGTGGTGGACATGGGAGGCGAGATAGGCAGCCGGGTGCAGTCGCAGTCGGTAGATCGGGACCGGCGGGATCGCTTGCGAGATTTCAGTGCAGGATTTAGCGCAGCTTCCCGCTTGTATTCTAACTTGGTATCGACGTCGCCCAGCCAGGACAGAATGTACCTGTCTCTTGCCTTTGCGGAGGAGGTTGAGCTGGAATTCTGTAGTACGGTCGCAGGAAGACTTGCGTGGAGGGGCTGAATGCCACTCATTTCTTGGCTTTGTGAGAAGCCCACGAGAACTTTCTGTGTTGCGGGAATACTGCAGGCTTGAATTATGGCTGTGAGCTCATCGTCGTCGTCGTTATCGTTGTCGTTGGTATTGTCGCAGAGCAGAGTGGTAGTAGTACTGGTTGCTTGGCGAGATCTCGTTGCTGTTTACTTTTATAGGTGGAGCCCCTTCATTTGCGTGGCGGGGCTCTTGGGTCGGTTGTGGCGCTGTTTGCACGCCTGAACTGCTGAATGCCAAGCCACAGTTAAAAAAAGACTCTAACACGCAATATCGCGCGCGTAAATGGTACGCGGAAGGATGAGAGAATCTTCATCCAAATGCCCGAAAGGAAAAAAAAAAAGAGAAGTACAAAGAAAATGGGTTATAAGAAAAAGCAAAAAAAGAAACCGAAGCTTCAATATGATCTCCTGAGCCGGATTTGAACCGGCGACCTGTGGATTACAAGGTATCAATTACAGTCCATCGCTCTGCCAACTGAGCTATCAAGAGGAGTCATTTGATTGGTTGAGTGCAGGCGTAGTTATTTCAAATCATATCTCTCTCCACACAATCACACAGATCTGCTGCCTACTGCTATCATAGCATCTTCTCCCTCCTCCCAGCAGTCACAAAACTCTTTCGTCTTAAATTTTTAGGATTTCATTCGCTTAGTAACTGTCTCTGGCGCCAAAAGCCTCTCCAGAACATCAATTGTGTGTGGCCAGGAGGTAATGGCTCAGAGCATCATATCCTCCTTACTGTGTTCTACAGAAAAGGTAGCACTGATGAAGAATCATAAGCGTGGTTACACGTAATGGGATTCACGAAAGCATTGTCACACTCTTAACATCCAACAGCACCATACATAACCATAAAACAAGCCTGTAGTAAGGCAAATAGGCAGCAGCAGCGCAATTTTAAACTGGTGCCAACAAGGAAAATCTATTTTTGGTGGTAAAAACCCCTAATTTCATTGTTTATCCACAGACTGCGCTGGTCCTGCTTTTCCTGTAACATGGGGAAGTTGTAGAACTAACAATGGTGGAGATGCCGTTGCATAGTATTCCAGGACAAAGGAACTGGAAACTAACAAAGCACCACGATTGATACAAAGCGGAGGGAGTACATTGCAGCATGGGCACGTGGATGGATTGATTTGCTATGTAGAACTTTCCTTCCGTCTTGAAGTTATCATGAATGAAGTCTTGGGCAATATAAAAGCGTAGACCAATCCTCCCAGCGTGGATTATAGGGGAACTTGAAAGCACCGCTCATGCTCCCCACTGCATTAATTCACCCGTTCACTAAATAATAAAATAGTCAGCACTAAATGGCTTCGGCAGAACCAACCAACATCCTTCTCAAAGACCTTCGGTCTCTTTCTCCCACTGACTGTGAGGCCAAGATCAGTCAAGTCAAACACTTGTCGTCTTACAATTGGGTCGAGACTTCCGATTCATCTCCGACCATCGCTGTGCCAGGCATACCGCCTCTATGGTCACCTCCTAAGGGCTCTTGTGAAGTACCTAAGGATAAAGGGGTCTTCCCTACTGACTCGAACGCTGCTCGCCACGCATCTAGCCCTCTTGAGCCCCTATTTCGCGCTCTGTACAGGACGGTTCCGGTGTTCGACGTCTCCCAGGTTGACGTCATCACCGATTCTGACTACATCCGAAAGCTACTTTCAATCCTTAGCCCTGGAACGAACAAACGAGGTCTCGAACCATTCACAATCAAAGCCGAGGTGGTCAAGGATACACTGATGTTCTGCTATCATGATGCCTTGGAATATCAAACTAGCCGCCCCAAAGAGGGGTTCGGACACGGGTTTAAGAAGAGGTACACGTCTCCCCAACTCCCTAAAAGTACAGACCACCACCGAATCATCTCGTACACATTTGGTGGTTTGAACCTGGTGGTTCGCCACTTGACCGGTGGGTGCGTGGACGCGAATACTGACGCCGATCAATCACGAACCGCCAATACTGGCTCGACCTTTGAAGATAACCTCGCCGACGTGCTCGGCTCCACGTCGCTCAGCAGCGGAGTAAAACTGGTCGTCACCGAAGAGGGCAGGCCGGTGGCGCGCGAGTCTACTCTGGAGATCGAAACCGGCGTCGCAGGCAATGAGAGCGCCTTCCGCGGAATCACCACGCAGCTCTGGGTGTCGCAGACCTCGAAGGTGGTGCGTGCAGAGCACACGAGTGGCGTGTTCCAAGACCCCGTGGTCGAGGATGTCGCCGGCAAGATCGTGCAATGGGAAAAGGGCAACGAGAAAGAGCTGGGACAACTGGTCACGCTGATTAGCCTGATCCGAAGCGTGGTTAAGGAGAAGTATAGCGGGCGCGCAGTTGTCAGGTTCACTCAATCGGCCAATGGTGTGTGCGCGGGGTTGCAGCTGAAGTCCATGACCACGGGGGACAAGTTGCTCCCAGAGGATCTGTATGCCAAATGGGATGCAGTTCAAGAAGGCAATGAATAGGCAGATAGATGCGCGTTTCAAAGGTTTAAGAGGATTGTTGGTCCTGGAGACATATGCTAACCAAAAGAAAATCCACTGATTTGCGATGCCTATACTTTTGCAGGCATATGCTATGGAATACAAGAGTGATATAGCTTCGATTTTCTAATATTCCGATCCAGTCTTATGACATCTTATTGCTGGGAGATAAGCCAAAGGAACAAAGGTGGACAGATCCATGCGATATCCAATCGGACATCACCAGCGAGTTCCACAGCTATACTCAATTGGGAGATTTACCAACTTGGATCAGTGCCAATTTTCGAGAATAAGGTTCTGTAACTTGTAGATGCACAAACAACGGTGACGATCACCGTGCTCAAAAAGGTACAGTGGCGGTTGTCTCTACGGGATTAACACGGACAGTGTGAAGTTTTGGAAAACGTGGTCCCACAGCTTGGCCGTAGCCAATCAGCACCAGGAATGAAGGAAATCTGTTAGCCGTTGGCGGCCATGAGACGTCGATGTCAGTTGAAGCCACACGATACCTCAGCCTTTTAATTAAATGGGAGCTTGGCGGAGACACGCGTCCAGAACAATTGATCAACCCAAATATGTTATGACCTCCCTCTCGTATCCCTTAATACGTACCATGTGTGCTAAACACACCCTAACGACTTCGAGGTAGCCGAACGCCACTGGGTGTTGGGCGTGGATGCAAACCCCTGGTCGCTGCCCGGTGGCCGGGCTCGGAGCCGAGACGTCTCGGGCGTTTGGCTGATCTCGTGCCGAACTTCCGCAATGACGCTATCATAGAATTTTTGCGCGGCGATACGAGCAGTCAATTACTTTTTCTTTCCTTCCGATGACTACTGCTTCCCGTGGTTGTTCTGCAACCGCTCAATTGCAACCCCGTGTCATTTCCCGCAGCGTTTCTTAACGTGGGAGAGATCCTAGTCCTGGTTACGATAGACCAAAAAAAAATGGATGAGAAAGTCGTTCGCGATCCGGAACCCGCTGCCAAGCCACCGGCGGGTGAGCCAAACCCCGGACGCCCAGCCGCCGGTGAGAGCGGGTCGCCGCCGATCCAACCGATTGTGACCAAAGAGGAAGAGGTCAAGGACTTCTCGACGGAGTCAGACGAGGAGATCATCACCACCGCCGATGATGTGGCTGCCGAGGCCATGGATGACCGGGAGATGACTGGCGACGGCTCTGATGCTGACGCCAAGGGCAACGAGAAAGCCGCTGGCGAGGTCGTCGCCCGTGGGGAAGAGTCTCAAGGCCCTCCGTATACTGTCCTCACACGACCCTACCGTCTTATGCTGGTCACAATCGTTGCCATGACTGGTGTCGTGTCGCCACTGACAGGTGCTATCTAGTAAGTTGTTACCTCGCCAGCCCACCTGTGCGCGAGAGCGGCAGATGCGCGTGCAGTGTTGGCGGCGCCAGCGTATATTGAGCCTCCACTAACCCAAGAACTACGTATCTATAGCTTCCCCGCGCTCAATACCCTAGCCGATGATCTCGGCGTGTCGACTTCATTGATCAATCTCAGTATTACCACCTATCAGATATTTCAGGGTATTGCGCCCTCGTTTATCGCCACTTTCTCCGATTCCCGGGGTCGGCGCCCGGCCGTGAGTACCACTCTCCCAAAAGTCCAGTCACGGGATTTTTTGCAATAACCGGCGCCTTGCTTCTTTCTTCTTTGATCTTTTGGTATCTGAATGATGGCAATTGGATGACTGACTTTCATAACCAATAGTTCCTTATCGCCTTGGCTATCTATATGGTTGCCAACCTCGCCCTTGCCCTGCAGAGTAGCTACCCAGCGCTGATGGTACTCCGTTGCCTCCAATCGGCAGGGAGCTCTGCGACCGTCGTTCTGGCTACCGCATCCGTTGCCGACGTGGTCACCCGCGCCGAGCGTGGCGGCTATGTCGGCTGGACCAGCCTGGGCATCTCTCTGGGGCCGGCGCTCGGTCCCGTGATCGGCGGTCTGCTCAACGGGTTTCTCGGCTGGAAGGCCATCTTCTGGTTCCTGCTGATCCTCAGCGGCGTCCTGTTCACCATAATCTTCTGCTTCCTGCCCGAGACGTGCCGCCCCGTCGTCGGCAACGGCAGCGTGCGCCCGCCGTGGTGGAACCTCAGCCTCGTGCAGCACCTGCGCGTGCGCCGCGGCCAGCCCTTCCACGGCGGCGACGCCGTGATCGCCGAGGACCGGTCGACCATCGCCAAGACCAAGCGCCGCCCCAACGTCTTCTCCACCCTCATCATCCTGTGGGATCCCGAGAGCGCTATCGTTGCCGTATTTGGCGCCCTCCTCTTCGCCGGCTACTTCATGGTCATGACCACCTTGTCGGAACAGCTCGAGGCCCGCTTTGGGTTCGACTCGGTCATCACGGGTCTCTGCTACCTCCCGCTCGGTTTCGGCTCGCTCATCTCGCGTTTCACCGCCGGCCAGCTGTTTGACCGCAACTTCAAGCGCCACGCTCGCCGGCTCAAGCTATCCATCGACACGAACCGCCAGCAGCAGCTTGAGGTCCTGCCCATCGAGCGCATCCGTCTAGAGGTGTGCTTGCCCATGATCTACATCAGCTGCGGTACGGTCCTAGGCTACGCCTGGGCCATGGAAGAAAAGGACAGCCTGGCGGGTATTGAGGTCGCGCTCTTCTTCATGGGCCTCTTCTTCTCCGGTGTCATCCAGGGTCTGCAGACGCTCATGGTCGATCTGCATAGCGAGACCCCGGGGACTGCGACGGCCGCCAACAATCTGGTGCGCTGTCTACTAAGTGCCGGCGCCACCGCGTTGGCACCGTATATGATCGATAGCATCGGCCTCGGCTACATGGGCGTTTTCATCGTCGGGGTCTGGTTTGTCTTCACTCCTCTGCTGTGGCTGGTATTGTTCCGCGGCAGGAAGTGGCGAGAGGCCAAGGCCAAGGCTAAAGCTGAGCGCAGGCTCGCAGCAGAGAGGAAGGAGGCCGAGAGCCAAGCTGTATAAAGCTGTGCTGTTACTGCTTTGACTACTTTCAGCACAGTACTT